ATTCCACACATTCATCGTTTCACAGCTCCATCGTTTAAGGGTTACATGTAGACAGCAGTCATCTCTCCACTTAGCAATGGACGTTAAAGCATTCACGTGCGGCTCCTAAATATCCTCACCGTCATGGCAACCCAACTCCTGCTATATTGACTCATGTCACACAGAGGAACCAGTAGTTTCAACAACTACATCAAGACCACCAACAGATACAATTACAGTTGCAGCTGCAACAGTACAACTATGTCAGTAAGGGCATCATCACCAACAACAACAACAAAAGGAAGCAGCTTCGATACGGACAAAAGCCTGTGACACGAGGACAACAGTAATAGTGAGATAAAGATGACATTTTGCAATCATCCCACACTTTCTGCTGCTAGGTAGACCACCTGACGGGCTGACATACTGCAAAGGATTGCGACCAAATCCATCATCACCGCGATTCATTTCATTCATTTCCAATGCAGCGCACACACACCGACAATAAGAGACAGACATACGTCCGCACAAAGATCCTTCAGATGAAATGGCGCTTCTTGCAACTGAAATTCATGAACCTCCTAAAGAAGGAAAACCACCAACGATCCACTGGAACTTCGATAACATTTTCCTCTTTCCTCCTCTCCCTCACCGTATCTTCGGTTTCATTCAAAGAATGTTCTTCTGTCGGCATAACACTCCCCCATTAATCGGTGTGTATTGCCTCATAAGACGATGGCAGTGCGATTTCTTGACTGATGTGGAGTCGTTGGTAGGAGGTGGATGTCAGATAGGCTCATATAAATCAATCGAGACGCTTCGTAGCAGCCTCTTTGTATGAATATTTCGGGTCCCACGATTGGCCGTATTCCGAACGAAGGTAAGGGTTACTAGTATCGCGACCGATAAAGTGAGTTACATCACAAGTTTTTCCTGTCGAATGAAAGTAAATGTGAACTAACACATCGGTCGAGAGCATTCTTTTAGACAATTGGGAGCAAATTTCACGATGATAGAAGTACACCCTCAGCAAAAAGTGACAATCTGTAAAAAGACTGCCTCCCTCTTAACTCAACAGAAACTGTTAAGCATAAATCGTTCTGGAGCTAACTCCCCCCAGACATTCCGTAGAAGTGAACAATGGTGTCTCTGAATGCCATCCTGCTTGACCCACCTCATTGCTGTCGCCAGCGTCAACAATTAATGCGTCAGCCAGTATTAGCATCATGAAAACTGCATTCACCTCATCCGCCTTCATATAATATCATATCTTGACTAAGACCACACTGAAAGATACCAGCTATAACACCAGCAGCACCAGTTGCGACAGCAGCAACAGTACAAGCACCAACAACACCCACAATAACAGCAGCAACCTCAAAAGCACCGCTCGTGGAGGAAAACTGCTTCCATATGAACAACACTGACAATGACACTGTTGGGGTCTTGCAATAGGCAGGTATCTCCACAAGCAGGCGGATCAACTGACGGGCTGACAAAATGCGAGCCACCATGAACAAACCAAGCCTGATGCCCACTACCGCATTCATTCAACTACTAACGATGCGCAGAACACGGGCACACGCGCATACGCACAGATGGGTATAGAGAGGGAGAAGGGGGGGGGGGGGATGGGTAGCCCCGTTTGTGCAATTGGGAGGAGAACGTGACTAGTTCACAAGAGCTAAGTCCCGTGCCCCAGTGCAGGGAGGAATAACGAAGGGAAGAGGTGGAGACAGAGAGAAAGGCAATGCTTCGCTATACGCGAGTCCAGCAATTTACTACCGCCAATCATTCAATCGGTCATTCAACCAACTAGTTGGTCAACAGTCTCCCTTGTTAAATACGGCAATCACCATCCTCCAACACAACGCTGGTTGACAGGACAATGTCCAAACCACCCGATTGCGTCAAGTTGTTCCGATTTAGTGCAATCATCGTAGTCGAGACATCCATCCCATGCCTACATATTAAATTATTATGCCGGATATAAGAACCACGAATTTCCCCTTCCTGCAGTTGCTGTTCAAACACCGGCGCAATACACTAAACTGAATTATCGTTCTCTATTTTGCAGGGTAATCCAACATCCATTGTTGCTCTATGTCTTATCGTAGGTCCTACTTCTGTAATACCGCCAGCGCAGTCGATGTTTCCTCCACCAAGTAACCTAAAGTTTTCACAGGAGAGAATTTGCATTTATTAAAGTGTTATTTCCAATTCGTTTGCAACATTTAGTTTGAACTACACAGCTTTTCCATTGATCATGCTGACGCAGAACTTGGACAACACATGTCTACACATCATGCGGCAGTTGCATTGCACAATCAGCCGATTTCTATTTGTTCGCGGGAAAAGAAGCGAATGCGGACCACATGACATGCGAGTTGGAGCAGCTCTAACACAACTTCAACTTCAAATGGCCCCATCAGTAAACATTATCACATGGCTAACGCACGAAATGATGTTCAGCAGGGTTGCACACCTGAAGGAACAAATGGAACTCCCTCAGTGCATTTCTGAACAAATCGGCGATGACACCGCATTATGGCAATTCAAATGTCCCTATCATCAAGTTCATCAGTGATCGACTTACCACTCCAACAGGAGAGAATGATCCCCACATCAAATTAAGGGTTACAGAAGTAAAACAGCGGAATTCAGATTGATTGCAGAAGAATTCGGAGGGAAAAAAACGTCAAAAGAATCCTTTTTAAAGAATGAACATATAGTAATAGAAGAGCGAAAGGGTTCTACAAGGGTTAGGGAAACACGTGAAATATTCTGCAACTATATTTGTTCACATCATAACACACAAAACGGCAGAACTAGTTGCAACTTAAGCACTGACAACCAGCAGACATTCCGTCAATCTGGCCGATCTACAAACAGCAGTGAGATCGCATCCGGTAGGCAAACGCTTTGGATAACACAGAGAAGGTCATGGTCGCATGTTTCCATTCGTCGTTAGATACAATATTAGCTTCTGAGAGCCACTCATTTTCACATAATAAAAGTAAACCTTAGGAATGGTATTGCAGTATCGCACATGCCGCTTACAAGGACTCTAGTCGACTGAATAATAAAAAAAATGCCGGATAAGAAGACGCGCATTCGTTATCCACTTATATCACTACATTTGTAGCCTAGAAACACGGTCCACAGAATTCATAAGTTTTCTAAACCAACAAACAGACGATCGCACAACACCATCCACATCTCACTTCAACATTACCTTGGTCATCGTTCATGCTAATCAATAAGATTTATCTATTCACCTGCCTGCACAATGCAAAACAGAACACGAAATCCAAGCTCCTTTCGCAAAAGTTTCCAGCAACTGGGAATACTAAAGTATACTAAGATAAAAACTCACCCCTCTCATCAACACGGCGTTCTCTTTCCATCACAGCCTCACGTACTCGGCTCTAATCATCGCAGTAACTGCGGTCAACACTGGCAATCCCGAATATGCCGGAATACCGGTCGGAAGGAGGGTTAAAGAGGAAGCGAACTTAGAGCGCTTTGATGGTTTTGCAATCTCTAGCGATCGCCTGTAGCACCGTTTGTTGGGATTTGATCCCGAAGGTTTTCGTGCTAATACCTATCTCCACAGTAGGCAACAACAAGATGCAAGTTCCATCCTCTTGTAAAAAAGATTCCAGCCGCTGGGCTCTATTTCCATCCCAGATGCACGTTCACGACTCCGATCATTGTAATACCCGCAAACACCATTGGCAACCCAAAAATTCACCCGAATACCGGTCGAGAAGAGGATTCGGAGAAAGTCGACGTCGACCAACGTAGATGATCTTATAGTGAGGTGGTCCGACATTCGACATTCCACATACATTTTTATTCACCCAGTCCACGGGCCTGATTAAAAGTACTTTCCACCATTGTGAAACATTCCGCAGAGTCGCAGCCCAAACACTTCTGACGACATTGTTGAAAGGCTCTTCTAGCAACTAACGGCAGTAGCAAGAGCAGGAGCAACCGTATCATGAGTAAACGGGAACAGATTTGGCATGACATTAGCGGGTGTCACGAGAACAACAGCACAATGACAGTGCTGACGTCTTGCACTTCCCACTGCTAGGTAGGCAGATGAACCGACAGACTGGCAAACTGCAAACCACCGTGAATTCATCAAGCATGATATCCAGATTGAGAAAGGGAGAAAGGTAGTCGTGTAGATGCACTTGCGAAAGGGAGAACATAACAGGTAAGTCAAGACAGCAGACAAATACACGAGAAAGAAGGATCGAGATAGCATGATATCCACCACGTATTTTCTTCATTGAATACGCGTCGGACACACACAGAGGTAGAGGAAGAAAGGGGGAGAGATAGTCGCAAAGGTGCAGTTGAGGAGAGAACATGACAAGCTAGTTCACAGACGAGTCAGATTACATGCCACAGTGTAGAGAGGAAAAGAGAACGAAACAGGTGGAAACAAAGGGCAATGCAATGCTTCGCGATGCACGAGATTAATTTACTGCCGCCAATCATTCAATCGGTCATTCAACCAGCCAGTCAGTCCGTGGTCCCCTTTGCTGAATGCAGCGATCCAATTTAATGCAATCGTCGGATGTGAGGCATCGATTCCACGTCTATGTATATCAACTTAATTTGTTGCCATTTTTTGAGATTTAAAAAAATATTACTTTTTCAGAGTTGCTTCTTGGTCAGTAGCATATCACATTATTTTGTATCGTTCAGATTTAACTTTGCGATAGTTGACGGTTCGTTCATATGCATGACATAAACATCACAACGTAATCGCTCCAAATGGCTACACAATACATAGGCAGATACGAAATCCAATCTCCTATAACAAATGGTTATACCAACTGGGCGGTACGAAGAAAGCCAATGTTGAACTCACTCCTTTGAATAGAACAATGCCCTCCTTCAAACGCCCACTCACGTCTGCTGATCTGATCAACAAAATACTCACTGACACTAATCGCAACTCGAAGTTCGCGGGAATACCAGTCAAGAAGAGGATTTGGAAGCTGGCAGAGTCCGGTGCCCATGCAATCGTTTTAATTCGACACCGACCGCTGTGCATGATCTAACTGGATGGCCTGACACTCAACGGTTAGACTGCACACCACGGCTTCTGCAAACACTTTCATCCATCCAGTCCACGGGCCTGACTGATTGTATCCTCCACCATTATGAAATATAGCTCAGAATCGCTACACATAAAGATGCATCTAACAGCAGCGTTGAGAGATTATTCTCAGAACTAACACCAGTACCACCAGTAAACTGTAGTAGACTGAATACGAGGACGACATCGACAATGACAGTGTTGACGTCTTGCAGATGACACGCACTTTACAATGGTAGGTTCATAGATTAACCGATAGGATGGCAAACTGCAAACCGACGGAAATAAATCAAACATGACATCCAGATTATAAAAGGGAAAGAGGTAGCCGCACAGATGCATTTGCCAGAGGGTATATATAACGCGCAAGTCCAATTCACAACAATTCGTTTCTCCTTCTCAATATTTTACACTACCTCACGATTTGTTGCATCCCAGGTCGACAAGTACGGACGCTGGCGCCGATGCCATCGCCGAGGCTAACACAGCTACAACCACATCGAAGAAACTGGAGGACGAAAGGCGATGATGAGAGCAAACGTAGTTAGAGACAATGTCTTAGCAGGCAGCGCTCCCTTGGTGGTGTAAGTGGACCCAGGAACGTGAAGAACAGTGTCATCACTCCGATCATCCAAACATCCAACTTCCACGAGGCTCCCTCAATCCCTTCATTTCATTACACTTCACATCTGTTCCCATTAATCACGTTATTAGAGCAAAAAACATTTCAACACATCCATCCTACCGATGTTCACTTGCCTTTATCTCGCTTCAATCGCCCACGCCAACGAGCAAGGCATCGGTCGGAATTTTTCATCTTCACCACCACCTCCTCCTGACGCACCGCGTCTGAGGTCGAATATGTACTACCTATAGCACGGGCACCACAGGTCATAGCAACAGCCCCACCAGCACCGATATCTATGATAACGGCAGCAGAAGCAATACCAGCACAAGTCAATGCAAGCAGCTTCCGTACACAGAATACCCTGTACCAGCAGTCCAACTGCGGCAACTACAAATGTTGGCGTTTTGCGCTTTCCACTGGGAAGTAAATCAGCAAGGAGGTTGACAAACTGCGAAACACCACAAACAAATCGACCCTGATATGCATCACTGATTTCATTCACTGACGACGAGGCTGAAATACACGCAAAAAGAAACAGAGGGAGAGGAAGAGAGAGATCCACGTGCTGGCACGTGGCGGAGGCAAAACGTAACAAGGCAAGGGTGTCAACTCAAGTCCACACATTGCATCACGTCGCTAAACATTCAGCCCAATAAACACAAACGCAGCAACCATCTCGAGGCAATAAGTTGCCACACGACACTCCATGGTACCATAAGACCACGAGGGCGAACACCGACGGAACAACGCACAAAATCCTTGTTTAGTGGTGATCGAGTCCAAAAATTTCCCCCAGCCAATTGGTCAGTCAATAAGAAATGCAGTTGGTGGTTAAAATTCTCCAGTCAGCAGCCTCCCGTGTTAACTTCAGCAATCGGCACTGCACAACGTGCACAATCGCACCTCAGTAAGAAAGAGTACAAATGAAACAGTTGGGTGGTGTCGAGTCCGACGTACTCTAGTAAATTAAAGTAGTGCAGACCAAGGTTAAAGCAAAGCAAGGTAGACACGAAGTGTCCATCTAGTCCATCAATTATCCAGAAATGCGGTGATTCACCACTCGATCTTCCCCTAGTAATAATTTTCAAAGTAATCACTTACTGCTACGACGTCTCCTAACCTTCTTCTCATCGCACCCGGCTGACGGCTGTTAGTGACTGATGGCATACTGCTCTCCCTTGCTCAGTACCCACTTCCCTCCATCTACAACTCACAGAACGCAAAACGACTCCATCGCTACTGCAAACTATCAAGGGCATCAAAGGACCTCATACCAAAGTCTACGTCACTGTGTATCTCACACACACCGTAGGACATCCCACCGAAGTCCGATACAACTCATTCAGGCCAGTCGAGCAACCCATCATTACTTCCACAATTATATCCATTCGACGCTCCACCTTTCCCTCTTTCCGTCTATCCTGCAGCTATTCTTCCACCTACCAATGGAGTGTGAAACAATCACTTACTGCTGCCACGCCTCTTCAATTCAACATCCTAATGACATTTGTCCTATGATAGCTGCTGTCTACTAAATGTCTATGCTTCTGCAACTAGTCGTACAGATTTTGATGACACTACTGAAAACCTAGATCACACTTGTCGACACACCAGCAGTTGATTTGTATGTCCCAAAGAAGGGAGTTTGAGCACCTCAAACTCAACTTGAACGTCAAGCGTCCCCATTAGTGAAAATCACCACAAGACCGACTTTCGAAACAATGTTTGGTAAGGTTGCAGACCTGAAGGAACAAATGGAACTCCTTCAACACATCTACGTAATTCAGTGTTGGCATCGCATCACTGCATTTCAAATGTCACTATCAACAAATTCATCAGCAGTCAGCTTACCATGCTAGCGGACATCAACTATCTTCACGGCAGATGATGGACTGCGGAAGTAAAACAGCAGGCTTCAGATTGATGACAGAAGTTTTGAAGAGAAAGGATGTCAGAACACCCCTTGGCCAATAGAGAGAAGGATAAGCCACAAGAGGTGTCCTATCAAGGTTAGGGAAGAAAATGTGAACACATGCAAATAGATTTACTGTGTCACACAAAACAGAAGAATTCAGGCCAAACGCTAAACCAGCAAATCATTTTTTATGCGGTAGGCACGCTCTAGAAAGTACAGAGCAGGTCAGAGTCGTACGCTTCTGCTCGCCGTCAGATATGACCCCAGCAGCTAAAAATCACCAGTGTCCACTCAGCGAACGCAAACCTCTGGAATGGGATTACAGCATCCAACAGGCCAATTCTAAGGACTCTCACATTCATACAAGATCACCAACATGGAATCAATTCACTTACAATACACCTGACACAGCAAGAGGTAGAGATGATGGCCACAGAGATACTTCTGGGATTAAGAGAACATAACGAGTTGGTCGAGGCAGGCCAGAGTTCACACACTGAAAAGCATCAAATCTAGGAGGCACTCAGTCAAACAGCAGAAATGCCAATAGCTCAGTCAGTTAGGAATCTAGTTGGTGGTTGAACTCCTGCAGCCAGAAGCCTCCTCTGTTGACTACGGTAATCGGCACCAAACAACATGCAGCATCGCAGCTGGGTGGGGCAGAGTGAAAAAGGAAGTCGCACTGTGTTGATTCCAATCCAGTTCAGTCCAGTCAAGCAGAATAGCGTATAGCAAAGTCAAGCAAGGAGTATGTGAAGTGCGACCCGTTCCATCATTTCTTTCACGGATCCGAAGATTAACCGCCCCATTGTTCCCTCATTCAATCTATACAGCAGTCATCCGTTCACCTGGCAATGGTATTTAGAGCAACCACTTACTGCTGTGCATCTTCGCCTCTTTACCTCCTTCCACTCGTCACATCTGCCTGACGGCCAACTAATTGCACTCTGCTCTCCCTTGCCCATCACTCCTTCCTTCCTTGCATGTCTTGAAAGACACAAAAAACTACGTCGTCACCGCAAACCACCAATCGACCCAAGAGACGTCGTACCAACGGCTACCTCACAACGTATCTCATGCACACCGTACGATATCCAACTGAATTTCCATCCCATTCGCTTTGCCCTTTACATTCCATGCCGACCCGATGCAATTCAATTCATATCATTCCATGTCAATACAATAAAATACGACAATAAAGTGATATCATAAAGGTAGAAGGGTGGAAACCGACGAATGCGGCTACGGCAACGACTACGCAGCAGAGGGGATTGGGAAGAGAAAGACGAAGAGTAAGGCAAACGTATTTGAAAGCAAGTTTTCAGCATGCCGTCATCGCCCAGCCGTGTTGAACAAACGGATCCAAGAAAAAAGGAAGACAATGCAGAAAATCGTGTCACTCGAATACGAACATGGGCAAAAATTCAACCGCTGCGACTATCCCAACAACCAACTGCCGTCATGCTCTCTCTTTCCCTTTCATCGCGCTTTTAGCCCATTCTCAGCATTCCAACATATTCATCAAACCTCTTCATTCGACTCTGCCTGATTGCCCCAGCTCATTTCTGTCGTGCTCGCAGTTGCAACCAAGGCAGCACCTCTAGTTAACGCGAACAACTTCAGTGCGGACAACAGGAGTTGTCACGAGGACACTAGCGACAATGACAATGTTGCTGTTTTGCAATCGTCGCACACACTGCATTCGCAGGCACATCAACTTGCAGGCTGACAAAATGCGAACCATCGTAAATAAATCAAAAATAATATCCAGGATTAAATAAATTTCCTTACTTGCAGCAAACACGAAAACACGCGATCAGAGAGAGGAGGAGAGAAGAGCTGGCTGCGAGGATGCAATTGGAATGGAAGAGCATAACACGTTATAAAAGACGGACTCCAGTCCGCAATTTGCAACAAATCGCGACGCATTCGGCCCAAAAAGGAGGAATGCAAACACCATAGCTGTAGCATCATTTCAACCCAACTACAATCACAACACTTAAAGCGAGTACGGGCCACTTTTCGTCTTCCATACAGCCAGCCAACCAGCTTGAGGTCAACTACCCCATTCACCAGCCTCTTACTTCAACTGCGGCAACCAGCATCCCGCAACATGACCCTATACAGCTCACCGGGCCATGGCAAAAGAGAAACGGACAATTGTCGGCTTTGGTCTAGTTCAGTCAAGCATAGCAGTGAAAGTAAAGCAAGGCGGCCGTGAGGTGGCGTTCTACTCCACCATACCTTCAACAAATTATTTCATTTACTGCTTCACAGTTCAGACGTTCCATCCATGTAGTACCCATCCCACCGAATAGCAATGAGGTTTAGAGCAACTATTTATAGTTGCAACGTCTCTTCACTTCTCCATTCTCATGACATCTACCTCCTGCTACACCAACTCAGGCCACACAACAACCAGCTGTAACACTAGCAGCAACAGATGCGGTGACAGCACAAACACTAGGACCACCAGCAGATACAATCACAGTTGCATCTACAGCAGAACCACCAACAGCAGCAGGCGCAAAATTAACGGTTCAACCAGCAAGAGGAAGCAGTCTGTGGCGAGAGGACAATAGTGTCATTGCGACAGATCCGACATTATACAATTGTCGCGCACTTTTCACAGCTGCGAACATAAAGTTACAGACTGATAAGGTGTTTACCATTGTGAGCAAATCAATTCAATTCCTTCATTGACAATGCAGCGCACACACTGTGAGAGTGGGAGGCAAATGCAACAACGCTTCCCACAACACACGCAGCAGATTGTGGAAACATTGTGAAAACCCTCTCCCCAACTGACCAGTAGCAGATACGCACAATATGTACTGCAGCTGCGTCTCATCAGCCACTCCGTAATAGAGGTAAATGTGCGTCTATTCCAACTGTCCCTACCCGTCTGCTTGCCTGCCTCTGGACCACTGCGTTCGTCTGCGCCAAGAAGCAGTATGTCGGGCAGTATTAGCATCACCAACACTGCATCCACCTACTCCACCTCCTGTTACACACTGACTGGGGCCACACAGATAGCAGCTGTAACTTCTCCAGCAACAATAACAGAAATTTGATGAAAGCGGCAGCGACAATGACGGTATTGGCGTATTAAAATCGTAGAATGATTTCCACAAGCAGGTTGAACATTTGACAGGCTTGCGAACTGCCGACCACAGTGAATAAATTAAACATGATATCCACCATGCAATTCATTCATTGAGGCTTTACCAGATACACGTGATCACACAGAGATGAAGACGGACAAAGGGGGGGACAACAGCATAAATTCAGCTAGGAGGGAACATAAAAAGGTAGTTTACAAGCAGGCGCCAATTTTCATGCCACAGTGCCGAGAGAAAACAGTACAAATCAGGTGAAGTCAGTGGACAAAGCAATGCCTCGCAAAGCAGGAGCCCAACAATTTACTGCAGCCTACCATTAATTCAGCACACCAACCAGCCAGTCAACGGCCTACTCAGCATCCAGCACAGCAACGGTGGATGGCAGGGCGGTGTCCAAACCGCTCAGTGGGATACAGTCGATCCAATTTAATGCAATTGCCGTAGTTGAGGCATTCGTCCCATGTCTATGCAAACTTGTTTTGTCGTTTTTGAGGTTTGAGAATAATGCCTTCCCGGAGTTGCTTTTAGGGTGTGGCACGTTACATCGTCCTGAATCCTCATTCTCCCCCTCTTTTGCAGGCGAGTTTGATGGCCAATGCTACTTTTTATCCCATCGTGGATTTCATTCTAGCAAAACTGACAACGCAGTTGACGTTTCCTTCAGAAAGAAATCTGAAGTATATGCGGGAGCACATTTGTTAATGCCAAATTGTTTGCATCCTTTATAGTAGACAAAACAATTTCCCATTGACCATGAAAGTGCCGCACAAATTTTGATGTGGTCGTACAGCGAACATGCACCTAACTTGTCAACACACCATTCGACTTGCATTTGTCCAAAAGGAAGAACACGAATGCCCGTCACGTTATACGAATCAGAGCAGCTCTAACGCAACTTCTATTTTAAATGTTCTAATCAGCGGAAATCATCATCACAAGACCAAGGTACGGAAATGATGTTCGGCAGAGATGCAAACCTGAAGAAACAAATGCAACTCCTTTAATGCAAATCTGCGTGAATCAGTGTTGACGACTTATCACTACATTTCAAATGTCCCTATCAACAAATTCATCAGTAGTGGACTTACCATTAAAACAGACGATGATTTTCAGACCAGATGACAGATAAGGAGATCAAAGTAGTAAGCTTCGCATTGATTGCAGAAGAGGTGCAAAGGGAGATGACGTCAAAGCACTCCTTTAAGCCGATGAATGGATGTCAAGAGGACGCGAGCTGAGTAGTACCAAGGTCAGGGATGCAAATTTCAAACACTGCAACTGGATTCACTCCATGTCACATAAAACAGCAATAATATTTGCAGCTCAAACGCTAACAACCAAGCACAACATCAGTCAAACTTGCAAGTGTACAGATAGCCTTGAGCGTCAGACAATGCAGAGCCGATCACACTCGTACGCTTCCATTCGCCGACAGATACAACTTTGGCGTCTAAAAGCCTAAAATTTCCGAGCAACAAACGCAAATCTCAGGAATGAGATCGCAAATTCCCATAGGTCATTTCCGTGGACTCCATTCAATTGAATAAGAAACTGTGCCACAACCGAAGACGTGCATTCTTTACCGACTGCCATCAATGCATTTGTAGCCTAGAAACATGACCCACAGGACACGAGCGCTTCCAAAACAAGCAAACGCACAATCGTACAACAGCCACATCTCATTCCAACTTCAGCCTGGCGATGGTTGATGCCGATTTATGAAATTCCTTCCTATGCATGCCATAAAATCCACCACGTTTTATTGTCAATGACATCCTTTGCTACAATTCCGGCTTTCGATTGCTTTGGTACACTTCAATACTGACATCCACCTCCACAATGCAATGTCATATTCGAATTCCAATATCCTATAGCAAGAGTTCCCAACACTCGGCAAATACAAGGTGCTTCAATAAAAAGAATGCTCACAATAAAACCTACCCCTTACAATGAAACAGGGCCTTGTTCAATCAGACTCTCAGTCACGGGTCTGATCACTTTAATGCCAGCAGCCAGCAATCATAACGCATATACGGCCTAGTAGTCGATCATTTAGTGGATTTGCTGAAGACGAGGATGGTGAAGAAATTCGCATTTAAAAACAAGCTGTTATCATGCCTTCATCGCCTGACGGTGCCGTTTAAGTGAGTACGGGAATATGACGAACAAGGTGGAAGATCCTATCAATCGAATACGGATACAACCATCTGCGGCAATTCAAAACCCTAGTGCTGTTACAATGAAATGCATGACCACCCCCGTCGTTCGCCTTTTCGACGCGACAAGTATTGGATCTGCAGCATTTGCATTACCAACATTCCGTTCACCTTCCCCTCATACTTCTACGCCTACATCCGCTACACTCTGGCAGAGGCCACACAAATGCTAGTCGTAGCATGAGGCACAAGTTCAGGGAACAACACCAGCATCACCAACAGTTACACTAACAGCAGAAACAGCAACAGCACGGCCAGTAAACTGCAACGGCCTTCATACGCCAACAGACCGCATGACAAGGAAAACGGCAACAATAGCAACGCTGGCCTCCCGCAATCATCGCGCACTCTCCACTGGTAGATCAACTGACGGGCTGACAAGCTGACAAGACTAGATCGCCGACACAAAATTCATCCTAAGACAACGCACTGGACACCCACACACATGCACGGACACGCACACAGCAAGAGCCACAGAGTGATTGGGAGAGAGGTAGCCACATTTATGCATTCGAGAGAGGAATCCAAAACAATGCCCAAGAAATCGAGAATAACAGCACACCACAAGCATTCATGCGGCCGTTGCGTGTGCGCTACAACTCCACTTCTCCCTACTAGCCATCTATATTGAAATTGCGAGCCGATTCCCCATTCCACATTGTTGAAAGAAAACAGAACGGAACAGAAGGGAACACCGCACAAATTCATCGTCCGGCAATGTTCAAGTCCGAAAATTTACTCCCACCCATTGGTCAGTCAGTAAGTAATCCAGTTATTGGTTCACCTCCTCCAGTCAGCAGACTCCTGTGTTAGCTGTGGCAATCAGCACCGCGCAACGCGCGGCATCCCAGCACAGGAGGGAAATCCGTCAGTCAGCAGCATCCTGTGCCGACTAGATCAATGAGCAGCATGCGACGCGATGCAACACAGCAGAGAGAAGTAATAAAGTCCAGCCGGTTATTTAATCTGTCATCCAGCCAGTTAACTGCCCACTCAGCATCCTCCAACGAGGCATTAACTGGTGGGGCGGTGTCCAAACTACGCAGTAGCACACGGTCAAATAGGTTTAATGCAATCGTCGTAGTTAAGGCATCCATCTCAGGGCAACATAATAGCTTATTTCTACGTTTTTCGGATTTGAGATAACTCCTTCTTAAAGTAGCTATTCGTTTGGTGACACATCACATCATCCCATTTCCCGCCCACTCAATGTTCTCCAGACAGATCCGGCAGCCGGTGTCACTTTATGTCCCTTCGTAACTTTCCATCAAGCAAAACTGCAAACTTAGTTGATAGTCCCTTCAGCAAGAAACGTGAATATCTCATTGAAGTAAATTCCAATTTATTCATTTACTTCCAATTCAGATGCATCCCTTGGCGTAAATGACACAACCTTCCGCTGACGACGGATACGCCGTAAATATTTTGATGTCGTTGCACCGCGAATGCACGTCATGTGGCATGCGACTCGAAGCTGCTCTAACTCAACCTCGAACTCAAATGGCGCCACCACCATCACAAGGTCAACGTTCGAAACGATCTTCTGCAGGAACACTTATCTGAAGGAACAAATGGAGCGCCCTCAATGCATATCTGCATAGATCAGTGTTGACGAATTATCACCACGTTTCAAATGTCCCTATCAACAAATTCATCAGTAGCCGCCTTACCATCCCAACACACGACGACGACTGCGATAATCTCCATAGTAGGTGGCAAACTAGGGAACCGAAACGGTAGGCTTCAGGTTGATTTCAGAAGAGTTCCTAAGAGAAGGGAAGGCAAAACTCACCTTTAAGCGAAAGCAAAGCTCTAACAAGGTTAGGGAAACAAATGCGAACACTTAGCAACCAGATTCACTCACTTTACGTCACGTAAAACAGTAGAATTCAGCCCAAACACAGACAACCAAGCACTACCAACGATCAAGCAGACCTATGTAGACATGCGCGTTAAACAGAGCCAGTCAATCGCATGCTTCCATTCATCGCAAGATACAACCCAGCAGCTAAGAGCCATCAATTTCCACGAAACACACTTCCACCAAAGGAATGAGATAGAGGCATCGCAAACGCCGTTATGAATTCCAGCCGATTGAAGAATAAACCATGCCCAATTCAAAGGCGTGGATTCTTTACCAACTGACATTACCACATTTGTAGCCTGTAAACGTGGCCCACACGACTTAATCACTTCCGAAACTAACAGACGATCGCATGATAGCAGCAACACCCCACTCCAACTTTACCACGACTATCCTCCATGTTAATTTGTGAGATCGACTTATTCGTCTGCCTTTTCAAAGTCAAACAAAATGTAAAACCGAAGCTGATACGATCGAGGATTTTAACAAATGACGCCAAGATTAAAACTCACCACTAATCAGCACGGCGTTCTGCTTCCATCACAGCCTCAAGCCCCCGCCTCCAACCATCACAGTGACTGCATCCACCATTGGCAACTCGGAATTCACTGGGGTACTGGTCGGAAGGAGGGTTTGGAAGAAGCAAATAGGATCCTTCGCTAATGCATTTGTTTTGGCGCGACACCGAGATTCGTGAATAGTCTTCGCAAAGAAGAGCCCCCAGATCACCTCATTCGTCCGCTCCAGCAAACAATGCGTCAGCCGGCAATATGCGTTCAATTCCTCTTTCTACTGTATACTCTGAACACGGCCACACAGGCATCAGCAGCTCAGCATCACCAGAAAACGGGAACAATCTTGGTACGGAAAAGAGTCTATGGCATGTGAGCAACAACGACGATGAGTGTTGGTGTTTTGCGGCAGTGGCGCGTATTTCACCACTGAGCGCATCAAGCGGCATGCAGTCTTAACAGGAAGCAACTGACATCAATCAAACGCCATTTCCACAACCAACGATACAGCGGACACTCACACACTACGAGAAATTCATTTTGGGAAGGGAGAACACAACAATTCTGCCAAGACGGGTTAAAGTCAGCACATCTCTTCGCCTCCCATCGTGCAGCACTCAGGTCAAAAGCAGAAGCGCGACAAACATAGCCTTTGCGTTGGATCAAACCATCTGTACATCTCGTACATGTAAGGATTTGGGATTACATCGCACTCCTTACCTCCTGCCCCTCACAACGAGGAATGCATTCTGCCACATCGAAGTCCATACACAGCTATCCTCTCCTCTTGATCTTCACGTGTTCGGCATTGCATGCGATACGACACAGAAAGCTAGCATAACACAAAGCAGCCCACCATATCCCTATCCTGGGCGCTCTACAACTCTGTCCCTCGCAACAATCCATTTGCAGTCAATAGGACGACAATGTTCATGCCATATTACGGGAAGGAAAGCAGAGCAGGAAAAGACACAAGGCACAATGCAACGTTCGTAAGACAAGTAGAACAATTTACCCTACCAAGCGATCCGCACGTTCGGCCAGCCAAATGGTAATTAAACGCTTCCAATCAGTGGCACCATGGAAGATGCCGTATCACAGCTCAGCGGGGCAGAGTAAAAATGGAATAGTCGTACCGTGTTATGCCGAATCCGATCCGGTCAAGCACAGCAGATTGAAGCAAAGCAAATAATCAGCGATGACCTGCATCAACATTCCCTCCACAATTTCGTCGAATCATCACTCCATCGATGCATCTAGCCAGCAGACACCACCGCACCAAGCAATGGTGGCATAACCAACCACATACAGTTGCCCCTCCTCGCTTCTCTTCATCTTCATCCCCTCATGACATCCGAACCAATGGCAATGGCACGCCTTCCTCTGAACCATTCAATGCCTTCTTCCTTCCGTCCTTTTTTAAATCGGCAGCCAGAAAACCATCACCCTCAACGCGAACCATCTTTGGGCTGAATAAGCCTAACACCACAGGCCACACTAAGCGCCACCTCGATATGCATAGCCTGGACAACATCCGACGTCCTACACCCGTGACAGTCCGATTCGCGGTAATTTACTTCATTTTAATGCAATGCGACGCAACACGATATGTTGTCATCAGCGCGCAATGACGGATGTTGATGTCGACATTAAACCGACTTAGGGGAAATTAAGGGAGAAAAGATGATGAACGGGGGCGTAATTAAAAGCGAGGTTTTAGGATCACCAACAACAGCAAAGGTATCACTAGTAAACAAGAGCTTCGATGAGGAGAGCGGTGATAGTGTTAGCAGGGCAGGTAGATCAAATGACTGGGTAGGGAAATGTGACACTGGGAATGGTGTAAAAACGATCGCCGCAATTGAAACCATTCATTAACGACGCACTGCACACACACGCGAGCACATACAAAGCGAGATAGGAGACGACAGTCGCAGAAGCACTTGGGAGAACATTACCACCTAGTCGAGGCAGGCCAGAGTCTACACATCGCATCCCATCACAATGTGAAGTAGTCAGCCCGAAAATGAAAAACACCTTTGCAAAAAACCAATCCAGCTCCAAACACTACGCCTCACCTCATGACGTTTACGGCTAAAAGCACTTCAGCTTCCCTTGCCCATTCTTCCATCATCCTCATTGCTGGCCTTCCAAGGCTTGGATAAAATTAGGCCACATACCAGCAGCCACACGCCTCTCCACACTTTTGCCTGGAAACCGTTCGACATCCCACTGAGGTCAATCCATTTCACTCCAGTTAATCCAGTCTAGTTTAAACAACTCCGTACGTTCCAATGTACTCCAATCCAATTGTTTCACGAACACGTCTAAAGCCCTCAGCTCACCCTACTCGGCCAGGCCGAGAGGTGCGTGAGAAAGTGTTCGCATCACCAACGTTTCGTCCTTTGCTGATATTCCAAGAGGCATTGAGATAAAACGGTTAATCGCCACTTGTAAAGCATTAGAGAGCAAGCATTCATTGCAAATACTGGTTAGGCGAAGTTTTTGAAGCCACGTTGAATATCGTCAATCGCCTTTGCCTCATCTTCTATGCCATGATTGCAATGTAGAAAAAAGTCCATAAAACGAACTGCCTCCATCAATGTTAGAGGGCATTGCGCCTCGCAAGATGCAGTATGTTAAGGGCCAATAAGCCCAATCAACGTTAGTGACAACGAGATCTAAATGCCGGAGGATACTAGAAGGCAGCTCCAGCGACCTCCTCGGGAAGAAGCATTTTTTGGAGTCTTGATTTTACACCGACACTCAGACGAGCGATGCAATCCAGCCACAAAGTCTTCTTCATCAGCAAAGGATACAATGGCCGAGTTTCACTGAAATTCCGGATTCGACAACCTACATGGCACACTTTTGACTTGATGGCCAACGCAGAAGAATAACCACTTAGCTCGCTGAGGATGATGCTCAAAGGTAGACGGTGACCACCTGCTACTGCGGGTCAATTGCCTCATGTTAGATCACACCAGTTAGAATACAACACCGTCGACACGGAAGGGGCAGACCAATTCCAATGTTCCGATCCACAACTAAACAACTCGTGAGAACACCCGTCTGCCAATTTCACAGGGGCTTCTCCTTCTCCAAAACGCCACAATCAACGCAACGGCCTTACTGGGAAAGCTTAACCTTCGTCCCAGATTCCTTGCTTCTCAACATCTTGGAGCGCTTTTACTGTCTCAACCCAGCACTCGTGCCGCAAAGGAAAGCATGCGATCGATCCACACGGCCAGATGGGCAGAGATTTGTACGACCATGGCCAAAGCTCTGCATCCCCTCCCAGCAAAGTAGTGCTTCATTGCACAAAATGTACTCCCAGCACATCCAACTCGCCCCATTCACGTCCTAAACACGCACCCAGATCCGTTTATTCTCTTCCTCCTTTTAACAGACTCAATTATGAATTGATCGCTTTCCACGCTGGTCTCGGGCAACCCCCAAAGGATAGATCTTCAATGACACTGATCTAAACGTCAGCAAAATCTTGGACTTCCCTAATCCCAATATCTGTCGCAATCTTCAATGATCGCGGCTCTCAGTTCACTCCTGGGTTATTACGAAGTCCACACTGACGGGGTCGTATTCAGCCGCACTATACCCTCTTGCTCAAAATTCGCTCTATCATGAATAAGATGAAGCACGTCCAATTCGCCAGCCTTTCCTCCGCCTCCTTACAACGATAGAAATGGTCTGCCACTTCAGGCCTTTTCATCCTCTTCCGCATGTTTGTACACATCCTTCCCCTTTCACCACATCTACCGCTCAGCTACAGCAACGAAAGCGGTTGTCCAACACGCTCAAGGCCAAGAAATCGGGCAAGATGAAATTGAAAGCAGACCGTTGGATCGCCGCTCCTGGCAAACGATACAGAGAAAGAAGGAAGAGCCGTATCGACAGGGAGAAGTCCGCACATCTAATGGCATCGTAGAAACGCAACAACCACTGTAGCCCTGACATAGAATCAAACCAGCTCTAATCATATTACGGAAAATGGGTTAGAGCTACTTAGGTCTCGTTTCTGACTCCTAGTTTTCTATCCCTCTCCCAAGGGGAGACAGTCGGACACCTCGAATTTTAAACCTCACTCCTTTTTAACCTCATCCTGGTTTCGGGCATTGGATACGAGAAGACAGAAAAGTGATATGAACGATATAGCAAAATCCACCACCTGATCCTCCCGTTGGGGCAATGACTCCATCTCTTGCAGTAACCAATTGACAGTTAATTGGCAGCCAACTGTCGCATAGACCAGAAAAGAGAAGGGAATGGGAGCAAACAAAGCAGTGCCCCAATTCGCTTTTGATTAATGGAAAGAGGAGGATGAAAAGCAGGAAGAATCTGCCAAGCCTAAGGAAACATGCAAGCTCTTTTCAAACCAGGATTCCCCACTTCACATCAAGCTGCCGCAAGTGGACCTTGTAGGAGACACCTATCCCAGTGGCAGAATCAGGAACATCGTCTCCTTGGATTGCCTCAGTCTACCTCTGTTTCTTACACGATTCAGGCAGGCCCCCAATCATGCCTTTACCAGAGGACAGCGAATCGAGAAAGACCGACCGCATGTTGTTTACGTCCAAACACTACGATTGAGTAATCTGTGCGAAGCCGATTACGGCATGCATCAACTTCCACACCAGTCTACCTCTACTTCTTACACGATCAAGGCAAACCTTCACCATGCCTTATCCAAAGGAGCTACAGTGGGAGCTTCATTTGAACCACCATGCAAACAGTTACTGTCACATTCATCAGGAGGGGTGTAATAAGGTTGAACGATTATTATCAGTGACGTGGTGGAGGCCTTTGCATTGGTCCCGTTCTGAAGGCAGGTCGCCGCATCGATCCTCTACCCGTTCTGTATGTTGAATGTACAGCACCACGACCACCACCACTACCACCCCTAACATCACGTGCACCGAAGGCGGAGGGTCGTTCGTATCTTTGCGGGGGAGAAATGTTGTACCGGGATTTTTGACGAGGATGTGGGGACACTACGACAGGTGCGTTTCGGTGTGTCGGCATACGATCAGACCGCCAAGCATCTCTGTCATACGAGCGGCCGCCCTGTCGACTTCCATGGACTGGTAGCTCTTCGTAAGGTTGCTGCCGTTCGCTGCGATATTGTTGGTAATCACCTGATATGGCAAGGAAAACCGACGTAACCCATCACCCTGCATCGTGTACATTGATGTTAAGTCATCGCACGGCGGTTAAGGATAAATACAACACAGCAGCATGTAATGCATTTGACGCTCTTCAGCTTTTAGTCCTACTGAGAAGCCTTCCTCAAATTTCTCTACCCAGAAGTCCACACTATTACGGCAATTCATGATAGAACAAAAACTATGAATTGGCACAGTTGAAACTACGACTCCACTACCACAAAGTGTTTCAAAGCTTGACATTCGGCATAAACCCTATCATTACCACATGCTGACCAGCATTCCCAAATGCAAATTTCTGGATCCAATTTCAATGGATTTTGAAGGGCACACGTATGTCCAGCAAATACCGAGACCAATCTGCTTTCTTCACGCAAGCGTAACCGTGTTCCCTTAACATTTCCTTCAATCACCGCGGCTTCATCACATTGGGGTACCTTGCTTTAGTCCACAGCCACATTCAAGATTCACACATAAAACCTGGCAGCCTACACATAAGGATCACATGAGTCTCTGCACTTGACGCGAAGGGTGGGACAAATTGCGCATAATCGACGGCGGAACATCTTGTCAATAGTGCACTGGCAGGCAAGGTTCTTCAATGCTCCAAGATGCAATTTCGTAAGCCATCTTCCAATATTCCAAACTGAATTTTGATGCAGAGCAGCATCCAGCAACCGACAACTGTCGCTATCCACTTATGGCACAACAATTCAGCACGTGGGCGTAACCATCTCACAACCAAAATGGCAAATGTGTCGCCTTCACAACACTCCAGTTCCGCTTCTTGGGAAAGCTTGTGCGATCCAAGAGACGTAACTAACGTCTAATCACTGGTGCTTTTCGATCTCTGATGAGAAGTGAATAAATCCATGTTGACAATCTCATTCACTGACAAATTTGGGAAATACAGAGCGGCTCAGTCGTACACTTCAATTCACCATTGAGCACAGCCGAGTGGCAAGCATAAACATCAAGACCCCGTGTTGGATATCCAGAATAGCACTTCAAAGGAGCTAGTTCGGTTAAACAATAAACCGAAACCAATCAGGAGTCATGCTTTCCTCCCGCTGTCACTAATATTTATGGCTTTAAAAACATCCTACAAGAATAAAACGGCCGCAGAACAAGCAGCCAGACGACCACACATCAAAAGCCACATCGCATCCCACCTTCAACGTAGCGATTGTTGACGCCGGCTGATGTTGGAAGAACAAACACGTGACCACTAACGGCACCATTTACCGAAGTTTCTGCTTCAAATGACTTCAATGCACTTTATGACAATTCTAACGTCCTAAAAAAAAGCTTGACGGTCCATTGATACAAAGAATGCAAGCAATAAAACTTACCCCTCGGATCGTAACGGCGCTCTCTTTCTATCACAGACTCACGTCCACGGCTCCGTTCCTCGTAACACCCACGACCAATATTCGCGACTCGGAAGTCAACAGAGTACCGATCGGTAAGAGGGTTTAGAGGAAGTGGACTTAGAGCCCTGTGCCGGTGAAGTCGTTTTGGCTCTGCATCGAAATCCGTGGATGACCGTCTAGGAGGATAGTCAGAAACTAGACGGTTGGGCTGTAGACCACGGCTTCTACAAGAATTCTTATTAGTCTGATAAAGAAAATCTTACCTCCCAGTCCACATGGCGGACTGAATATAGCCTCCATCATTCTGAGATGCCCCGTAACGCCGTGGTCCAAAGTCTCGTCTGGTACCATTGTTGAGAGACTCCTCTCTAAACTTGGGCCGGTACTCAGTGTAGAGATCATTTCCTCTGAAATGACGGAGAGACACATTGTTGTGACCGCCCCGTAGAGATCTTCCGGAGATGCCAAGCGGAGACCGTGAGCGCCGGCGACTCAAGTTAATGCGACTGACTGGAGGAACCATGGTATGGAAACAGAAACCAGCATGGACGAACAAAATATTATAACAAAAAAAATTGATTTTTGCAATTGTAGTACTTAAGCTCTAATATTGAAATGTCAAGTAAAAAGCTACTACTTTTGTCTAAAAATTTCCTAATTGAATTTTTTATTACCGTGTGTAGACGGCTAGCCGGGATTTTACATGTAATAGCCAAAGCTAAAATGGCACGAACATCAGCAGCATGTTTTGCTTTGAATTTTCCATCAGTTGCGTATTTTGTACGCCGATGATAAGAATCGTGCTATTTGGATATGGAATCACCTGGACGGCCCATCAGTTCATGCGTGCAGTACACTCATGAAGAAGTGGATTTCTATCAAGTAGAAGGCATTTCATTAACTGATGATTTGGAAGGAGTTCGTATAAATGCAGTGGGTTGTGAATGCAGCAACATTTACGTTGATGGCGGTGTCTTTCTACTGTCTCATTGTTTGCCTCCTCCATTGTGGTTCAGGAAGGGAACGGAGCACAGCGTAAGTGGGCATCTTATGATTGACTCTCATCAGCATATGCGAATTAGCCTTTGACACGTAGTAGTATTTGTTACACGGGTTGATTCTTTCATTCTTTTAATGTTTTGCACCAAAGCCTCATAATATTGGCTGCATTTAAGATCATGTACTCACTATGTGGCCCCTACACGTCTACAAGACATTTACTACTACCATTTGATAGGGCATGACGTGACTAAGGCAATTAGTGACGAGGCGCGTAGATCTCTTCCTTAACCTTCATGCGCATAGAAACCACAGGTTGATTTGATTTTGTTATCGACTCCTGATAAGTAAGTTAAAACAAGTAGCAATTGCTAGACCGATTGGCAAGAGATACTTGCCTTTAAATTTGACAACAATAATCAAGCAGTATCGTCAAGAGTGTATGTGCTTTCATTCTTCAAATTAATTTACACTCCCACCCACGCTCATGTAAGACTATGACAGGCGATTCCATGCGGAATGGCAACACTTACTAACCCCTGTGCCCGGTAGATCAAACTGGCCAGGTGTTGCATTATAAAGGCAAACCTAGTGACAGTCTTTCCTCCATTAATACTGATTTAGTGGCATTAGGAGGAAAGTGCCCCCAAAGTGCCCGCAACACGCTTATTGAACAGTGATTTTTTTCAGAACGCGAATCGTCATTACCGCTCCTGCCCATAGAAAGCATAAAATGGAAGTTTCTGAACCACACTACACTTCAATTAAGTTGGAATGAAACGGATTTGTCCAACATCGGAGTACACTACATTGAGGCCACCGCAGCTCCAATTAATGGACTCGGTGACACCACTCATGAAGAAGCAGAGGTCGAAACTGAAACTATCACATTTTATGGATTGCTGTCCAACACCGATTACAAATTGACCTTATATGCACATGGAAGCAAGAGTCCCGTATTACATCGAACAATTTACTTTACAACGGGGCCCGATGGTGAGTCTACTTCGACTCATATCCATTGCATTGCATTGCATGCATTCAGAGCTAAGTCGAAAAGATGGCGTGAACTTGACAGCGTAGGTAGAGGTAAAGGACCTTCACAGCTTTACTGGTGTTACAGCGTCTAGCGCTGCATACGATGCCATCAATTTGAAAACCCATTACATTGCCACTTGGCAACACCTTAACATTTTCATCTCACTAATCGTTTGACAGCACGTCAGCCTTAGGAAGTGGTCACATCAGAGACAAACTAAGCTGGAGCGAGGCAAATCGAATCACTCGCTCCAGTGAGATGCTCAAGCTTTATGCTGTTTGACTTGCACATACACGCGAAAATGTGAATAAACTGATCATATAGGTTGAAAGTCCGAACGTGAGGAGTAAGTAACCCTAATACGTAGTAGACCGATCATTTCAAATATTACATCTTGGGGACAATCACAGTTAAGTTCTTTCCCTTCTGCTACTGCCACTGCCACCACTGGCATGACGTTAGGTGTAAATGCACCACATTCCGTTGGCTAAGTGAAACAGACTGCTTGCACCACGCTTGAGGTATAATGCCTTCTTTTTTTCTTCAAAAGGTGGCGAGAGCACCTCTACAACAAGGCCGACTGGTAACCTTAATTTGTTCCGGATGCACTGGTTTTTGTTGCTTGCATTTACACATAAACTTCAATAACAAAGTATACTCAGGCGAAATGTTCGTACATACAGCGACTCATAAACCCTTCCCCCAGTCCACTACACGAGTTGAATATCACGTCTTCAAGGACGGCTAAACCTCAAGCAGACATAATTGAGCTAACGGCAGTGTCACTCACCCACTTTAACTTCTCAACGTGTATAGTTGCACATTTCTCACTTGAACATATCACCGTCGACGCACTACGGCCCCACAACTCATGCGAAGCGACTGTGGTGGCAATTGGGGAAGAAGGCAACTAGTGCGGATGATTATGCTGTGCAATCTCACCTCCAACCATACTACTTACTACTACCCCCTATCCGTATCGGTGTGTCCTGTGTCATAGCATGAGAGAATTCGTTGAGCAAACCACAAAGAGGGAGTCGTCAATGCTCGTCATTGCACAGTTTACACATGCGCCATGTTCATCCCCTTTACGATTTTGTTGAAAGCATTCTTTTTTCGTAGAAGGGAAAGAAGGTGCTACCTCAAGTGGCGCACCTGCATGGACTTCCACAATCTCTGCAGTCCTACTTGCTTACATGGCGGTGGTGCTTACTTGAACTCTTCCGTAAGTCCGAGCACATTACCCACCATTTCATCTAACATGCCCCAGATCTTGCGTTTATCGAGGCAATCTATTCCATCACAGGTTTGCACGGAGCAGGGATTGTATCAGTCGCCAAGCATTCGTACCTGCCTCACAATAATGTGATTTCTCGTAGTGGATACCTTCTGAGTGTTAACTAATTGACTTCCCAATGTTTGATCTTCACTGAAATATTTGATGCAATTGCGGTGATTGGAAAGGGGTGTACTGCTGTAAGCGAAGTGGGGTACAACTTTTGAGCTCCATTTGCCTCATGGCCTAAATAGACTTGTGCATTCATCACAAAGGTGCTCCAACGCACGCAACCAAATTTGGTTCTCCCAGACAGTCTAAGCACGGCAAATGTGATATGAAGATGAATTGTAAAGTCATATGATACAAGTTAATGGGTGGTTGAAGGTGTGGGTTTCATTAAAATCAACGTTTGTTCTCCTATTTACAGGTTCTGTTAGAGTGTGACTTCAAAAGTAATCATATTCTTGCAAATTTCATTTGGCAATGTAGAACTGTTGGGAAGGATGAAATTATGTGGTCACGAATGCGGGAGATTGCAGGACTCAAGTAGGTATGCATTGTACATTGACCACGTCAAGGTGCCTCTTGCAAAACGTAAGCGGATTGAGGGTGTAGGAGGAAGAGAGCACGGTGTTGCTTTGCGTTCTTCTGCATTTTTCTGCTTTGTGTGTCTTTACGTCTTATCACTCCACCTCTTCGTCACTGTGTGGCCAAAACGGAACTGCCTGACTAGATAGAACCATTTGACTCTCCTTACAACACAGGTACATTTCGTTCTGAAGTCCAGATAATGCACTTCAAATGTCGCCACGCTAACCGTTAACCGACACGAGAAATCGAAGTTACACACTCAGGTAATGCGACAACTGCCCCATGAGGCAGTGCAAGGAAAGCGCCACACGGCCACGGTGGAAGCACTTCAATTCTGCTAGATCCGAGCAACTGCTTCATGACATAGTCGTCATCTGTCACTAAACCTCTACAGAGCCTCATGATAATGAAAGCAATGCTTGAAAAGAGAGTCCCTTGAAACGGGCAGATGTACTGCAAGTAATAACCTGCGGGTTTATTGCGACATAGGGAATTATTTTTAGAGGCATGAGGAGGTCTCTGCCACTGCATTTGGCGCATGAATTTGTTGACACTGTCCAGGCGACTTGTACTAAATTAGTAGGTGTTCTTCTGAACGGAAGACACACCTAAGCCATTTTAGGCAAATTCAATTCCTTCAAAACCCACCACCAACAACAACGACATTCTTGTGTGACTCCTGCTAGACTGCGTTAAATGAAAGGAACTAGACTGAGGCAGTCCGTCGATTAGAGATTGTTCCTCCACTGGTACTTCCTATGCACGGCTTCATTCCTTTCCTTATTGTGATTATCGTGTTCTGTAACACATGTGAGCGCCGGTTCTTTGGTTGACCCACTCGATAGTTCGCATGTTGTCCTAGCACTACGCCTCTACCTAGAATTCCACACTGCGGTGAAAACTGCTACCTTGCCTCATCAGAGGTAGCCATTCTTGGAGTGAGGATGTACTGATCCAATGTGTCTCTTTCAAATGCTCAAGTTAAACTGATAGTGTCACTGCAGCTTTTGCATAGAAATCGCCTTTGTGCATTTGCAACAGGACGAAGTGTTTGTAACTGCACAACAGGCATTAAAATCAGCTGTTGTTTTCATAAATGCTTTTCTGAGGCTAATGAAGCAAAGTCGCTTATAATTCAACACATTGTCTGCTGTTACATCAATTCTCCAAAGGAATATTCATCTACAAAGTGGGTTTATTAAAACACCATAATTTTCGAATGATGGAGTCTTGATGGAGCTAAGAGGACCTTCATGTTGAATGTAGGTAGAAGGTTGCGATCTTGCGTGGGGAGTAGGGAGATGTAAGCCCTAGGAATCAGCTGCTTAAAAACTCAATCGCCTGTTTAAAAGCAACATCATTACGAATTGCAAATTCAGCCTTTTGGTCACAACATTGAATATCTGCGTTGAATACTGAAGGGAGTTCCTTCTCACTTGTAGCATCATCTCCCTCCGCAATGAGCACGGGATGGCACGAATGGTCGCGCTTCTTAATAATTCGCATTTTCCTTTGCTATACATCGCTCTCCGCAGATGGGTGCGTACTGTGGAGCTTCACTTTTATGACTAGACTTTCACAGTTTATGAAGCGAAACATGAAAATTATATGTAGGTGGGTTAAGCCGTGTTAATCAAAGCTTGCAATGACTTTGCAATTCAGACAGACATTCCACTGACACTCGAAGTACTCCGCAGTTTGAATCATGTCAACTTTCATCCCTCATGTCTACTCCCAACAGCCTTACTTAGTCGGGCATTTCAGGAGACGCGTCAGTAGTGAGAAGGTAATGTGTGTGGTATCTGTTAGCTCACATCTTGACACTGGAACAGTGGGAAGCTCTTTAACGAACTTTGCTGTAGCAAGTCTCACTAACTGCCTTGTGTGCTTGTTAGTAAACTGGATCAAAAGAATATTATGGGCAGTAGTCATTGCTGAACCATAAAGTGATACAAAAATGCTTCTCTTTACACCACACTATCTCCTCCCACCTGCGATTCTTTGCCGCCTTAACAGTGAACTGGAAATTAGGCGTTGACGGCGTTAGCAGCATTCAGGTAGGTGGATGAGAGAATCACCACGACCAGAAATGAAGACGGATGCCATGACAAGCGTTGACATCTGATCGCTTACTCCGACAAAAGCTATTATGTAGAAGAAGTGAGTTAGGGGGTTTGTAGTTTGGAATTTTTGGCTCACTCTCAGTTCCGCTTCCATGATTCAGTTCCATTTTTGAAATCATGCGGAACGAGACTTGCAATTCAAAGGTTCTTTGTTGTGACCTGCCGTTGTCCACTCCTCCTCCTGGTCTCAAACGCTGCATTCGGGCCTCGGTTAATGCTGTCTTTATTTTCGATATGCATCGAGTAATTTTCACATTCATTTGCTTTTCTATGAAGATTCTACCTCTAACAAATGGTCTACATGAACCTCCCCACGAGTAGAATCCTTGTGAATACCAACTTCAGTAACCTCTCAAGTGCTTTCACTTCCCTTCACACTTATCAGGTATCGCTTTAATGCAACAGAGCTATACTGAGTTTGATTTCGTTAATAAGGCAAGTGTTCTGATTCATTTCCACTGATGAGAAATGAAATTCCAGATTTTAAGCTTGTAAGATTTAAAGATTCACAACTGATCCGATAGATATGAAATGACTGTCAGCTACCTGTTCAACCCCTCCCACCGCCAATTCAGCTGGAGGTACAGATGTTGCAGGTCATGGAAGGAGCCCCCTTCTTTCCAGCGTCAATAAAAGTACAAAGTGGTCCCTTGATAGATTTTGCTTCGTCAAAACTGAAGAGGCTTTGACGAATCAGTGTAACGCCCAACAGTGGAGTGATGAGAGAATCAATGAAGTCATCTGCAGAAATGAGGAATTTGCCTTTTACAACAGAGTCCACAATCAAGCGCATGAAGTGGGAGAAGGTTCCATGCCTTCTACATCCATGTCCACGCCAATCCAATTTCCTCTCTCATAACACCAGATTCGACAAATTCAATGGAAGAAGTGGATAGGGAAAACGAGTACAGGGTTTATCGGGGCGAGGGTCCACAACCGCTCTCAGACCCGCAGGGCGTCAACTCCGTCACCAGCCTTGAATTGTATTCGTACCTTCCCTCTGAAAAGAACATTAAAACAATGCGATTATTACATTATATTTCAAAATTATGCAGCCTAAAATTTTCACACCAAAGCAATGGTTAGAGGATTTTGAGAAGCATTTATACTTAAAAAAAGCTGAGCATATATGCAGCTATGTTTGACTAATTTTCTGTAGTTTACTAGTAGCAAAGCAATAATGGGATATTGGGCATGCGGATTTGAAGAATTGTTTTTAAAATATAACTTAAATGTTTCTTTTTTTGCCTGAATTACAAATGTTTTCGCATTTTAAATCAAATTATTCAAAATGATGTTTCGCGTAAAATTTTCCCGCAATGCAAATATTATTTAAGGTACAAAGGAATGCAAGCCTTTTTGCATTGAATACAATTTGATTTCACTCAAAACTATGCATCATTTCAATACCGCTACCTATGCCTTTGCATATACTACGTGTAAGGCGAAAACATTTACCTAATGTGGTTTTACCAACCTGATTATAATGCGTGGACATCTATCTACTTCATTCGCTAATTATTTTAAGCAACGGTGTAAGCTCAGTCTTCGCAAAGTTGCAACCGGCTAAAGCACCTTGAAGAACAGGCGTTATTGCTGTGTCGTAACGGCATTGCTCGAAAATCATGACATGGTTCCACATTTTAAAGAGCACATGTTCCCTCCTACTTAGCTTCGTGCATGGCGGTCGTCCAGATCATTTTTCCACTTTGAATATCGCAGATTAACTGGTGCTTAAACGATAGGTCACGATATTTTAACCCACTCCTTTGAACGCTCTTGCATGTGAGGTGACATCTGAGAGCAGCATCACCATTACATCCAGTTGGAATGTAGTATCCGCAGTTCCCCTCTATCGGCGAACTGAACTGTGGATGGAGGAATGCATTAGCTAAAATATTTCAGATCAGAGCTTGCAGTAAAGTTGCACAATAACGTCCAACTGCATTGCAGTCATTTTCGGGCGTATTCAATGCAAAGATGTGGAAGCACATTAATTCGCATTGTAGGAGCACGTGTCAATGAGGCATTCATCTAAAATGAATGCATGCACGACTGATATGTCTTGACTCATCCACACCAGATTGTCGTTATTGTAAACAAACTGGGCACACGCTTCGTTGTGTTCCAATGACCTGAATTGCTAGGCCATGGGGCATGGGTGGGTTCCATTCTCTAGTCGTTGTTTATAGTGTGTCGGGTGGGGTGGAAATCGGCGAAGGGGTACAGGAGGTGGCACTTGGTCAAACGGTTTTTCATCCGGTATTCACAATGTCCTGGTCAATATGACAACTGCTTGATTTGACTACTGCACCAGTCTTGTACACTGAGAAGGAATAGATGCTGCAATTTATGCACATCGTGAGATCACCAACACGCATATCGGAAAGCTCAGTCTCCAGGCTCATCACCTCGACAGGTGTGAACTGTAGGTGAACAATCAGTGGAATTGTGTCCGCGTTATTTGCCTTCATTTAAGGTTCCGCCTCAGCCAGTGTCGAAGCAGCGGAAGTTTCCTCGTAGCAATTCAAATGAGGCATTGCAATTTGTCTTCGGACAGCCTTGCAATGGGCCAGTGAGGTGGATTAACAACTTCCAATCTAGGCGTGTCGAAACAGAAGCATTGTGCGAGAAAGACACTTTTGGCATTTGCTCGACCATCAGTGATGCTATGCTCGCTCTGTCGCAGTGTGGACCTCAACACGTGAGGACGTGCGTGCGATGGACCAAGTAATTTGTTAGTGAAATGATTCGCTTCCCACGATATGCTTTCCATGTGCTGTCAAGTTGTCCTAATATGCGCCTGTTGTATTGTTATCTGCCGACTTCCACTAGATACATAAAGAAGTTGAGGTGGGGACATAACATTTTTCTTCCTTCACCGAGAGAATTGTTGGTAGGGTGGAAATGGGACGGGTCCTCAGCCACATAAGAGATGTCCGCCCTGCCAAATTCGATGATATCCTTTGCAAGTTCATCTCGCTTATCCCCCTTACTAATCGATCATTACTTCCTCTACTTCAAACTAATAAATACATTGGCATTTCCTTCACATCATGCGCAATGCACTGAAGTTGAAACCCATTACACAGCCATCTATCCATCCACCCATCCATCCATCAATTCATCCTTGTGCCTCCACTTGTTCATTTACAATCCATCTACCAATTCACTGCTCCATTCTGCACATGTTCATGCCTTCAGTAATCCCAACTCATCATATTTTTCACTGTACATTCATCTGCCGTTCAAATAATTAACTTTTCTATCATTGCACGTATATTGTTAACCCGGTTCCAGAGCTTCGTTTCTATTCTACACAAACACCTCACTCCCCTACTCGTCGCCATTTCAATACTATCAACCTCGCCATATTTCTCCAATCCATCCTTGCTCTCACAATGATCCTTGACTCGTCACGTCCCACCGTCGCATTTCAACTAGCGAAAAGTGAACCTTCTCCACATATACATTGCCAGCGACTCCACTCAAGAGAAGGTGTTTCAGCACCGTCAACCAGTTCTTACATGGACCAGGCATGGACGATTAATTAAATTCATGGTAAAAAACAAACAATTGTTTGAATACAGAAGCAGACGCGGGGATTTGTTTAAACCGCGCCAACTTCAAGGCACCCCGTACAGTCGGCAACTTATAAGTGGGAGGTTGCAGAAGCAACTGTGTATTTAACCAGTTGGACCTTTACTACAAGGATCCACTCCAGTGCAACTTCCACTGCAATGGGATATGATGAGACGAATGGAGTGGCAAAGCCTTGTGTGGCCTTTTATTCGGTGATAGCAAGCCAAAAGTAGGTGCGTCTCATTACACGGAGACATTGAATAAACCCCTCATTGCATCTCGTGATACAGACTCATCGCCTGCTACTTGGGCCAACAACCAGTCGATCCTCTCGGCTGCGCCTAACAAGAAATGTGATAGCAAGGCAGTTAAATCTACTGCATTCACTTGGTTGCTTTGGTTCAGCAATCGCCCATCACCCACCTCAAAATTAAACAGGCACGTTCACATACGCCTCTTTTAATAGATCAAACAAACTTAGAGAAGGTGAACTGGTCGAATTTATTCCCACTTGCCACGCTTGAAGATGCTTCACACCCAACCACTGCGTCACGTTGTCCCGCTCTTACATGCAACACTCTTTGGGTATTTGTCGACCAAACACTGGTGAAGTTAAGGTCGTCTTTGCATGAGAGGAAACAATTCTCGATTAATGCCTTCTGCTAGATGAAGAGTACTAGGTACTTACAAACAAAAACACGGAAGGACACGCAGTTTATATTCATCGCAACATCATTTGTGTGTGGTTGAGAGTATGAGTGTTTGGAATATCAAGCTATGCAGTGTGGTTTGTTGATGGGCAGGGAAAGTGGCGAAACTAATGAAGAACGAAGGAAGTGGCGTTTGCCTTCGTGCGATTGCCCTGCATTCAACTCGTCCATTCAAGAAGCTGTTCACTCCTCTACTTTGTCAGCATCACCACTGTCCCGAATACAACTGCAAAGCGAAATTGAGCAAGGTGACACAAAACGCAGCTAACGTTGCCAACAAAACCTAAGTGGTCAGATTTTATTGTGTCTTATTTCGTCTTTAGGGAAGTCTCAAGACGCTACGATATAGTAAAAGGAGAAATAAGAAATCAGGCCTAATGCTACAAAATATTGTTGGTATTAAAATATTTCCCGTACTGCAGTCGTTGTATGTGCCAAATACGTATTTGGACACTTTATTCAAATTATTATTGGATCGGTCATCAAGATAACCTAAAAGAGCTTGTAAGAAAGCTTAAAAACACACAACCTGTATTTATATTATTCAAAAGCATCAGACCTTGATAGTAAATAAGGTTTTTCCTTTTCATTTTTTATAAATAAAAAATTGGAGGAAAATCTAGTATTGTCCAGACACTACACTGTTATACTTTACATGTTTCAAAAGCAATACAATAGAGCATTAATTTATTTGTGCATGGATATGCCCTTTTGACTTATACGTTTGCTTGAACTAAGGTCATTAAGAGATGGACATGTTCTCTAGCCTGCATCTCACTGACTCACTTTATCACGCTGACTTTCCTTAAAAAGGTGCCAGAATTGGCAAACACACTAATGAATAAAAAAACTCATTTTCGCGGTGTGTAAGCTTGAACTCAACTCAGCACTGGCCATCAGTCGACATTCATCAAGTTAAGCTCCTTTAGGTTCAGAGTTTGGTGCGAATCCAATTGACAATCATTCGTCGAGCATGCTCCCACAGCTCGGTTTTGAACACTGCACTTAAAGTATTTTTCAAACCCTTCCATGTGCCCTCGACATTCCAATCATTGAACCTCAACCATTTTCCAAGTATGTAAAAATGGTGGCGATGAAGGGTCAATGCATGGCGGAACCCATTCGGTCAAGATGAAGTTCAACCTACCATACACCGGTGTGTTTCTGAGGGAGAATCCGTCCGAGTTGGTTAGATTCAGGTAGTAGTACTCATCATTTTTCTAGCCTGTTGTTGCACAGTCATGTCCATTTTCACAGACAAATTGCATCGCCTCTGATGTGGTCAACAGTTTGGACGAACTCTATCGAGTTGGAACATTCTTTCAAATATCCGAGTGGGATGGTATGGGTATGAAGAATAGCATGCTCGTGATTGGCCACCGCAGGTGTGCGTTTTTGTCTGTTCGTCTTTAGCTTTAATATTGTTGTTAAATAACTGCCCTCTTGGAATTTGTAGAGTCCAAATCGTGAAGTGGTTCCTGACATCGCAGCAGATGCCAATGTTGATTCGGTGTTAGGTGATGAAAAACCAAGTGAGCTATTCATTATCTTCTACTTTCTTGCTTATTTTCGTTGTAAAGCATCGACTTAAAGATGTGATCCTTATCAAGAGTGGTGTGTTTGTTGACCACTTTCCTTGTCACGAGTTTAGGCCGACTGCCGAATTTGTTGGCTGGTCGACCAATATTGGGAGTTTGTGATGTTCCCATTTTTGGCTATGGCTGCTTCACTCGTCCCTTTTTTAGCATTATGTGACCTTCGCTTTAAAAGCAAGACATATCCGCCCTATTATTAAGTGACAAATTTGTGGATGTATTGTGTGCTTCACTTCCTGTTGGTGAGGAGCGATTTACTGATTCCCCACGGAGGTGATTGCAGCTTCGAAAGAGGTAGAAAGGGATGAGGATGGGACGTCTGCTCCCAAAGCAGATGCGTCCTCATTGCTGTCTGGTGAAGGACACAAGGATGACGGGAGTGACAAGGAGGCGTTTTCGTCACCCTCCGCTTCAGATGGTTCTTATAGGCGAAGGCTGATATCTTCTGCCTACGCATGACGCTGCCGCACTCAAGATGGGTTGTTATCTGATCACACAAAAGAGATTTGCCGGTATTGGTCAGGCCGTAGAGCACAATGGCATTTGTTTTATCCTCGCAATTCACAATGGTGCGTAGGGATCAACACTATTGCATTAGCTGTGAACAGGTCCTAGAGCCGCTTGCGACTTTCCACTTTTCTTAACATGCGCAAATGCCGGGTTCGTGAGTGATACAAAGTGAAACTTCTTATTTGGAATGGGCACGTCTTAAGCAAAGTCCTTCAGATTTATTGACTACCTTAAATCCTGTTCTGCGTGACCACTGCAATGTAGGTGAGGCAGAAGTTGTCCCTTGCGAAGGCTTCGCTTTAGCATTACATTGACAGCAAGCCTAGCAGAAAGGAGGTAGTCTCATCAGCACTGTCACTCTTATTCCAACCCTATTTACAAGTCAACTTTGGCATGGATTCGTATCCCCATCTCTATTCTCACCACTTCATCTGCTTATTCTATTGCGGATAAACGAACTCTTGCATCAAACCTTCATATAATTTAGTTACATTTAAGCTTGTATCCTCAATTTGTGACCCTTTCACGTTTGCACAATATTTCCTACTGACATTTGCTAGAACATGACTTTACTTAGGCGTTTAGTGACGAGGCTCGTCGATTTCCTCTTTCTTGAACCTCATGCCCTAAGATTCCTCAGGTTGATTTGGTTTTTGTTACAGACTCCTGACATATTTACCTCTCAATTCGACAACAGTAATCAAGCAGCATCGTCAAAAGTGTTCACCGGTTTTATTCTCTAAAGTAATTTACACACAATAATGTAATGGGCGATGCCATGTGGTATGACAACACTTACTAACCCCTCCTCCTGGCTGATCAAACAGGCTAACCGTTGCATCTTAAAGGCAAACCTAGTGACATTCTTTTCTCCATTATTACTAATTTCGTGACGTTAGGAGGAAGGTGCTTTAAAAAGGGTCGCAGCCTGCTTAATGTACAGTACTGTTCCTCCTCAAATTCAGTTTCAACAGCTTCATAGTTCGGAACCAAATTTTTCAAGACAACATCCGATAGGGGACCGCTTGGACTTTCGAAGCATTAAATGGCCATTATTGAATCTCTTTACCCCTTAATAACGTTAGGATGAGAAGAGTTTAACAAAAACCAGAGCATATCGCATCGGATCAAGTGCTGCAACATTGTAAAAAGCTGGCCCCACTACTTAAAAAGTAATGGGGTCGAAAACCGGAAATATCACCGTTTATGGATTGCCTCCCAGCACCGATTACCAATTGATCTTGGAAACAGTTCGGCCTAGACGTACTCCTTTGCATAGCACAATTTACTCTACAACAGGACTGGATGGTAAGTCTACTTCGTCTCATATCCATTGCATTCCATTGCCTGCATCCAGAACTAAGTCGAAATGATGGCTTGAACTTGACAGCATAGGTGGAGGTAAATGGGCATCACAGCTTTCACTGGTGTTACAGCGTCTCGCACTGCATACGGTGCCATCAAGTAGAAAACCCATTACGCTGCCACTTGGAAATGCCCTATCATTTCCACCTAACTAATTGTTTAACAGCTCAAGTGAATATCATGGCAGTAGCTATCGCGGAATCACAAAGTGACACGAAAATGCTTCTCTTTACACCGCACCATCTACTCCCACTCGCAATTCTTCACCACCCATCAACATGCACGAATGTCAGAATTGTGGCGGATACGAAGTGGTGCTCCTGATTCGGAAATGTGCAGGTCATTTGCGCATTTCTTTCAAATTTATTGACTACTTTGAATCCTGTCCCACATAACCATTGCAATGTAGGTGGGGTGGAGGTTTACTTTTGCGAAGATCTCACTTCACCAGCATATTGACAGCGAATCTGACACAGAGAGGAGGCAGTTTACTCAGCACTGTCTCTCTTGTTCCAACCTCACTAAAAAGCACATGCAAAAATCAACGCAACATTTTTGAATATAGCTGTATCGCTCCTGGATTGCTATACGTGGTGTGGAGATGCTGTAACGGAAAATGAGATCGAGAGATGCGATGCCATGCGGAATGGCAACACTTACTAACCCTTTTTAGCAATCCATTTCAGCCTTATCGCCTACGCTCATTAAGCCCGCTATTCAACCCGGCACTTCCCACGTCACTACATCACTAATTGCCATTGCGGTGATAGATTGCTGTGGCCATTGTGCCACCAACGCTAAACAGACATTCATGAATGGCACTTTTGAAGTAATCCAACTTCACCGTGGACGAGTGAAGCTAATGTTTGTTGGTGAAAAATCTACATTTACCAACATTTTGGTGCTACGATATTCAAATAGCCTGTTCCCGGGGAACCGTTGAAACAGATGATCTTGTCCTGTGTGGTTACCTCCAGCTAATTCGCATCACTGGACCCCCGCCACAACAGGAAGATTTAGTTAAATAGTAGCTAGGACGTAGAAAACTGAAGAATTGCTATCATTACACTCACAACTTTGTTCAGTCCTATGACCTTCCTCACCCGCTGCGTACAGGCCTCGATTGATGTTGCCCTTATTTTCACATTTATTCGCTTTGCCATGAATCCTCTACCTTTAACAACAATTTTCCTTTGGTTTAGGCTGTAGCCCAGCATCGTCACTGCCCTGATATGGTCGTAATGAAACGCAAGTATTAGCACAACTGTGCAAGCCTCAAACTGCTCATCAATTCAGTTGCACTCGAATTCGATGAATGATGAGGTTGGTTTGCGAATGTTTTCTTACACCACCTGTTATGCTGCGATGGTTGACGCAGTGGATAGACCAATAGGGCCACCTATGACAATATTCACAGAAGGAGAAGAACTCTGTCATACAGCCATTATCCCTTTAACTCCTTGTTTTGATTACGCGGACACCTAAGTCTCCCCTCGGTGGTAGGGCCACCGAGACATGCCAGTGGTACCTCAGACAGTCAGTGTGTCGGCAATCCAATTCCTCTTTGAGTAGTAGGGCTGCCTTCGACTGTTGGGCACTCAAGGCGCTGCTTCACAGTCCTTCTCCTTTCCTATGGATGTCATGACAGGCGAACTTCCAGTGCGATCATCACGAGTCCCCGTACAGTTTGAAAAATAACTGTGGGGAATTGACAATAAGTCCCTCACGTTGGGTTTGTCTGGAATTGCTTTCCTCGATATCTGATCTTAGAAATGTTCCTCTATCTAATTCCCATAGCACCAAAGCATGCTAAACCATAGGAAAGGTGTCGAAATCTATGCACGCCGGTTATTTGGTGACATAAAAACCAAAAGGCGTTTGCAAAAGACCCACCTCATCTCGTAATGCTGGCGAATTGAAGACGCCTAAGAAAAGGCATTCGATGGAAAAAAGACTGGATGATTGTAAGCTAAAGGAATATACAACTGTCCTATCAAACAGAGGGACTAGAATCAGTATCAATCCGCTATGACAGGAGTGCGCAGGAGAAATGCGAAATAATATCTTAAAAAAGAGCCCAAAAATGCGTAGAAACAGCGGCAAATGAGATGAGATGGGATGACATTTGCTCAGTGATCGGCAGCAGCAAAGTGAGACCAGCATTTCATTTTCAATTGGTCAAGCAAACAGCGCCTCAATGTGGACAGCAAATTCAGGCTAGGACCAGATTCCATGCTGCTGTTCCAATCTTGAAAACATGGGGAATGATACCTTCCACCTGCCGTTGCCCGCTATATCTTCGGGTCTCAGACGCTGTATGCAGGCCCCGGTTCTTGATGCTTTTATTTTTGATATCCTTCGCGTATGCTCACGTATTTGCCCTTACGTGAATGTTCTGCCTTTATCAAATGGTCTACGTACATTATCCAGTGGCCTGCATGAGCCTCCTGTGAGCAGAATCCTCGTAAATACCAACTTCAATCCCCTCTTAAGTGCTTTTACTTTCCTTTGCACGCATCAGCCATCGCTCTAATGCAACAGTGATAAACTGAAGTTGATTTCACCAATTAAGCAAGTGTTTCCATTCATTTTTACCGGGAGAAAAGGAAATTGCAGATCTAAAATGTGCAAATTTTGAAGACACGCCACTGATTCGATAGTTTGAATCGTCCTTCAGCTACCTGTTCGACTTCTCCCACAGTCGATTAGGCTGGAGATACAAGAAGTTGCAGGTCATGGAAGCAGTCCTCAACCTGTCAGTTTCAATAAAAGGCCAAAGTATCCCATTGATAAGGTGTGCATAATCAGAACTGAAGAGCCTTCAACGAGTCAGTGCAAAGCTCAACAGCGGAGTGATGAGAGACGCAATGAGGTCATCCGCAGGAACGAGGAATTTGCCATGCACAACAGCATCCACAATCAAGCTCAAGAAGTTGCAAGAAGTTCCATGCCTTCTCCATCCATGTCCACGCCAAACCACTCTCCTCCCTCATAACAACAGATTCGCCTACAGCAACGTGAGAAACACCTCGTGAGGGAGATGAGTGCGAGAGTGTGCATTTGTTCTCGTCCTCCTGCTCACTCGTCCCCTTAAAGTCTGCAGAGAGCAGCTCTGAGCCTCTTCGAATTGACTAACTGCTAAGATGTCAGCTGTACTCCAGTCATTATATCAGCCATAGGCGGTAGCCATTTAACTGTACTTCGTTTCTTACCTACGGAACATGCGACGGCATCGAAATGATTGGTATGGTAGATGTCTTGCCAGACACAAGAATGTCACGTCACCTTGGCTATCTTGCTGCCCCCTGAATGAGTGACTTCGATTTCTCGCTTGGGTAGCGGTTTGTGCGCACCATTTGAAGAGCATCATGGAGAGGTCAGAACGAAATGTAGCTGCGTCGTAAGGAGAGACAAGTGATAACACCTAACCAGCCAGTTCCATTTTGGCTACACTGTGCAGAAGAGGTGGAGTGGTGGGACGCAAAGACACAGATGAGGGAAAATTTCGACGAATGACAAGTAACACCGAGCTCTTTCCCTCCTACACCCTTATTCCACTCAGGCTTTACAGGAGGTTCTTTCACGTGGTCAATGTGTAAGGGATGCCTGCTTGAGTACTGCAATCTCTTGCATTTGTGACTACATAAGTTCACCATTCCTCATAGTTGCAGAGTGCTAAATGAAATTTTGCACGCACACAAGTGCTTTGAAATCACACTTCTACGGAACCTGTAGACGTGAGAATGAAGGGTGATTTTAATGAGCAAGTTGTGTGATGGCATGCAGAAATGAAAATTGGAGGTCATGATTCATTCCACACACTCTTACAATCGCTTTAGTTGTGAATGGGAAAAATGGTAAAAATGTAGTGAGTAACCTCAAATTCAGCATTAACATCCTCATGTTTCCTCACCAAATTGTTCTGCTTCAATGCGTAGCACACGACGACGCGACAAGATTACTTGAAGAGACCCACACCCTCAACCACCCATCAACTTATGCTATAAGGTTTCGCAATTCATATTCATTACACATAGTGGCCAGACAGTCAGGTTAGGGGAAACACTGACGTTAGCAGTGCTTAAGCCTCTTGGAAAAATCAACACAGTTGTTTGCATGCGTTGGACCACATTTGTAGAGAAAATACAAGCCCACTTATGCGTTGAACCAACTGCAGTTCAAAAGTTGCACCCCATTTGGCTTACAGCAGTCAACCGCTTTCCAGTCACCTAAATTAAATATTAACATCTGCAAAAGGTGAGACATTTGACGTTCTTAGTGGACTGGTGAAAGTGTTTGTGAGGTGCTATATGAGTGTTCTTTGTTATTCAAGTTTTTGCGTAAAGGTAAAACAACAAAAGGCAATGCATCATGAATATATTAAACTTAACCTTTTGTCTCCTTCCTTAGAAAAAGACAGTGTATGGTAGGTATGTCGCAAGCACTCCTTTTCACTCATCCAACGGAATGTGAAGCATTTATGCCTAACGTCATGCCGGTGGTGGTAGTGGTGGTAGTAGGGAAGAGAACTTCACTGTGGTTGCCCTCAGGGTAAAATATTTGAAATGCTCGGTTCACTACGCACCAGGATTACTGACTCCTCATGTTCAAACTTCCAACCTAGGTAATCTATTTGATTTACGTTTTCGCGTGAATGCGTAAGTCAGATGGCAAACCTGAGCATCTCAATGGTGTGAGTGAGTGGGTTTACTTCACTCCAGCTTAATTTATCTGTCCAATGGGACCATTTCACAGGGCTGACGTGCTGTCAAACAATTGGGTAGATGGAAATGATAAGGCATTTCCAAGTGGCAGTGTAATGGGTTTCCAACTTGATAGCATCGTATGCAGTGGGAGAGGCCGCAACACCAGGCCCCTCACCTCTACCTATGCTGTCAAGTTCAGGCCATCTTTTTGACGTAGCTCTGAATGCATGCAGTGGAATGCAATGAATATGAGACCAATTTGACTTACCGTCAGGCACTGTTGTAAAGTAAGTTTCGATAAATATAGTTAATCCGCTACTTCGAGGTGCTTTTACGACCAATTCGTAATCGGTGCTGTGCAGCAATCCATATAAAGTGAGATTTCCGGTCTCAACATTCGATTTAATCTTAGCAACGAGGCCATGTATATGAATTAGTGTCGCACTTGCTTCAATTTGATTTACTCCGAGTTCAGACAAATGTTTTTCATCCCAATTTATTTGAAGGGTAGTAGGTTTCAATAAATTCCTTTTAAAGCCCTCAGGAAAAGGAACAGTATTGTATATCAAGCAGACTGCGACAATTTTTAAAGCACTTTTCTCCTTACCTCCTGATTCCAATATTAATGGAAAAAAGAATGTCTCTAGGTTTGCCCTTAAGATGCAACAGTTAGCCAGTTTGATCCACCAGGCACGTGGGTCAGTAAGTGTTGCAATTCCACATGGAATCGCTAATCATAATCTTACGTGGGCGTGAGTGGAAGTGTAAATTAAGAGACGTAGTAATCCACGATTAATGCCCAATTCACCATTCCACTCTTGCCGGCGGATGTGCTTATCATTATGATCGGGCATGCAGACGTGCATCGTTACACACGAATGTAGACTGAAGGACTTTGGCAATAAGGAGATGACCTCTGAATAAATGAAAATGTATGGAATGCTCTGCTCTGCACTATCTGCAAGTACATTTGGATGCCTGAACGACTTCGTGCAAGAACACGACATTGTGACGTGCTAGAACTCATGAAGAAGTGGATTTGTGGGTCAAGAAGGAAAAATCCCTTAGCTGACATCTCGGAAAGCGTTTGTATAAATGCCATAGTGGTTGTGAATGCAACACCCTTTGTGGTGATGGCGGTGCTTTATTTCTGTGGCATTTTGTTTGCCTCCTCCATTTCGGCTGAAGACAGCGGCGGAGCGGAGTGTAAGTTGGCTTCTTATAATTGACTCTCATCAGCATATGCAAATTAGCATTTGATATACTTCTCCTTCTGACGATTGTCCACCCGTCTTGGCCTCAGTCGATCAAATGTGCCTACAAAGAGTGTTCTAGTCCAATTAAGGCTACGAAATTTGCGGTTGTTAAAATGAGGTGCTATCACAGCATCAAGTGTATTCCATCGCTTTTCAGAGCGGTTGGCAGACGCACTGTGAGCCTACTTGATCCCAGTACCGCTAATGAAGGTGCCAAACAACGACACCGAATTCATGCACGCATAAGGCTGTGGTGAAGAACAAAATTCCCTTTGAATATAATGCAATACCTGAATCTCGATTATTTAAACTCCCTGGCAGGTATATTTAAGCCAACCCAACCTCCAAGGTGATGGCAAAATGCTGAAACATGCCCATGCGTTTTCCTAAGGCTTATAACGAAATGCAGGATTGCAAATCTATTAACTGGCCCATTCTGTTGATAGGCCCACAGTTCAGAGTTCCACTTGAACTTGAAGAAATTGACTGGAGCTAACGTGTAAATGAATCATAAAGAACGTTATATTGGAAGGATGCTCTCCGTCACCTACATGGCCGAGTTAATGCAACAGGCATTACCGAGGTTGGATAAGTAGGTGAGACTTGGTCCATGAGGAGGTGAACCACTCGTCCAGTCCCACGTTGCCTTCTACTTCCGGGTCCGTAGCAGTACGACCGTTCTTGAACTATCGCTGTATGTCAATTCCGAAGCGAGCACCCTACTGCGTCTAAAGTGGGCCTGTCACCGTGTCGCCCTCAACGTGTGCGAAGGCATCTGAGCTCTACAATAGGAAAAGGCAAACAAATACGTGCAGGATCTACCAGCCCATCGATCACCGTTGCTACACAATCATTTCTCCGATTTATCCATCATCACCTCCGTGCACGAAGCCCTTCAGTGAGCCATCCACCCATCTATTCGAACACCTCTTCATTCAACCAGCCACGCACACATTTGTGAGCCTTTCAGCTATTCGTCCATTCAGAACTTCAAGTATTTCTTCACCTTAACACCCACTCATCCATCACCTCGACACACATTCATTGGGCCAACAATATTCCCACTCAACTAGACCCTCATTTTCAATA